CAGTGGGGACAAAGCAGGGGCCAAGGGGAGCCAGACCTGGGAAGGAAAAGGCAAGAGAGACACTAGGTGGGAGGGAGACCTCTCCTCCCTCCCCTCCTCCCAAAACAAGCCTGTCACTGACATTCTCCAGAGACAGAAAGTCCACGAAGCGAGATCAAGAAACTACAAAGAGAAGATCGAGAAAATAAAGAGAACTCTGCAGAAACTCCCAGAGATAGAGAGGGCAAGAGGGAAAAATAAACTTAAAAAAATATCTAGAAGCAGAAAAACCCACCACCACCCAAAACAACAACCACTGAAACAAACAAAGAAGGTCAAAGGGCAGTCTTGGCGCTCCAGTGCCCACCAGATAAAGAGAGGGCAGTTGTCACCAAGTGTAGAGAAGGGCCAGACCCCAAGGACACGGGCCTCCTGCCTAAGTTCAGCACAATGGAGTGGATCAGACCCGGGTCAGGACATAGGAAGCTTCACTGTGACATCAGAACCCGAGACGACTCCCAGAGGGGAAATGTCACAAGTCCCCGAGCATTAGCAAGGGACCTCTCAACAGCATCCCTGGAGACCAACCCTCAGAGGGAAAATGATTCCCAGCTTGTGATTCCCTCCCAGCAAACTACCCAACAAGTTTGAAGAGAGAAAAAAAGACACCGTCAAACATACAAGATGCCAAAAAAAAAAAAAAAAAAAAAATCACTTTCCGAACTTTCCCAGGAAGCTTCCGATGAAAGTGCTCAATTAAAACAATGTAAGAAACCCAAAGCAAGATCACATATAAACTCTCTGACCTGGGGGAAGGTGATGGCACTTTGGAGTCCCAGGATGGCACTGCTGCGGGAGGGTGCCCTCCTCACACTGGCACGCCTGGGTCTCAGGTACAACAGCCTGGTGCTGTCACGCCATCTTTTACCTGGACGGCACTGGAGATGTGCTGTGTCCAACCAGGGAGTTCGGAAAAGAGAGATGAGTGTTCCAGAAACAGGGGCTCCGGCTCGGAAGGAAGGTAAAGGGAGGCCCTCTGATTTTAGTGAGGAGAAGTCCTAGAAGATCAGCCAGGCAGTAAGCCCAGAGAAAACCCAGGCCAAACAGGAGAGTTTGGGGGTCACCAAGAAAAAACTGGAACTGGCAGATCACATACTATGACGGACGTTGTGGAAAACAGTTCTGAGAGGCTATATTGTAAGTGGAAATTACCAATTAATAGGTACACAGAAAACTCATCAAGTGAAAAAGCAAGGTAGTTATTAATTTTAGGAAAAACAAAATGTAAGAAAAGAAAGACAAAAATTCGCTCCTTCCAGCGGGGGAAGCTCCCTCACAGTAGGTTTCCTAGAAGGAAGACACGGCTGAATATTTGGAGCCCACTGGCAGAACTTAGTGCTGTTGTTACCTAGAGCTATCAAGAAGCCTGGAAACGGAGACTTTTCTTTTCATACACTGGTGTGCGCCTCCGAAAATCCAGGTTTTGTTACTGCAGAGAAAGGGGAGAGTGAGTGTTGGAGTGGACGAGTAGCAGCCACCTGAGTCACTTTCACCAAAGACACATTTCCAACTGAACACGGTGCTAACATGAACCTTCATGTGCCGAATAATATGGCACCAAAACATGCAAAGTAAAACCCACAGAAACACAATAAAAAGAAAAAGGAACACAATATTCAAGGGAAGGTAACAGATCACTTAGTCCTCGATGGACTGATGACAGACAGACTACCACCACTTGGGAGCAACAATAAGGAGATATCCAAATTATAAGATCAATAAGGCTGAGTTAATATATATAACTTTAACTTAGAAATACATGTTATTTTTAATACCTACTGAACAATTATCCACAGGAGAAAAGTTTCAAAAATTTTGATGCCATATTTAAATTATCCATACTCTATAGGAAAATGAAAAACTAATAATAAAAGTTGAAATAATAACAACAAAATGCCAATGACATGAAAATGTTCAAACTCCTAAATAATTCTCAAGTGTAAGAAAACTCAGCTATACCTTCGGAATGCCTTTAAAATAATGAAAACATTAGACATGAAAAATAGGAGATACAGCCACCATTGCAAACAGAAGACCACTCAAAGCCTTCACCATTTCAGCACTGAACCAGAAACACAGGAAATTAGCAGATCATGCATTTTGCTTAAGTCTTATAAAATTAACAAAAGAAACCCAATACAAAAAGAAGCCATGAATCACGGGCTGGGGTGGTGGCTCAGTGGCGGAGCTCTTGCATAGCATGTGTGAGTCACTGGGTTCGATTCTCAGCACCACATATAAATAAATTAAATAAAGGCTCATCAACAACTAAAAATAAGATTAAAAAAAGAAGTCATTGATCAAGAGAAACAAAAGTTCATGAAAACAGAATACAAGTGAAGCAGCAGCAGAATTGATAAACATTTTGTTTGCCAAGCTTTCTTTGGTAAACAAAACAGAAAAATTAAAAAAAAAAAAAAGGGGGGGGGGGCTACTAGTTAAAGTAATCCTCAAAAAAGAAGAAGAAACAAACACATAAAACTAGCAACAATAAAAAATGACCACAGGTCCAGAAGAAATGGGAGAGCCCCACAGATCGGGGACTCATGCTAATAATGACTTAAAGACCTGGGAGGGAGAAGGGTGATTGTCTAGGAAGAGACTCATTGCGTGAGAAAAGAGAGAAATTAATGCTGTAAGCAAAATCAAGTTGTTAACAAGCCACCTCTGCTCCAAAGTGCCTGCTCCAAGGAATAGTTACTGTGAAGCTGTAAAAACTCTTCCTGATAGGAGCAGGCAGGGAGACCTGGGGATGATCACACTCTGACACTAACACCTGGGAGCACAAAAACATGGGACTTCAGACCCATATTGTGCACATAAGTGCAAAAACCTAACTAAGGACACACCCGTCCATCCCAGCCCCCAGCGGGTCAGTGTCTTACCACTGCCATAGGCATCTCCATAAGCTGCTGCTCAGAACCACTTCAATCTATTATCTCACAGTTCTGTGGGCCAGAGATCCAACGTGAGTCTAAGTAGGCCAAGGCCAAGGTGGGCCAGGCTGAGGTGCTCTCCTGGGTTCACTGGTGTCCCCTGTCCCCACTGCCGCTTCAAGCCAGCAGAAGTGTGTCAAATCCTCCTCTGCTTGGGCTCCCTCCAGCTTCCTCTTCTGTCCCCTGTGCTTTAAGGGCTCATGTGATTGTTGTGACCCACCCAGATATTTCAGGGGGACCTCTCTATTTTAAGGTCAATTGGTCAGTAACCCTAATTACATCCCTTTTGTCACATAACATTCAGAGGCATGACAGCTGGGGGCAAATGTCATGAGGGTCAAAAGTCTACCTGCCACAAGCAGTATTGAGAGACTAACATGCCACGACCCAGCCCAAGATCCTGACCACTGTTAGAAAAGGTACTGACGTAAGTCATTACTCGAACATGGGACATGTCGTAAAGAGAAAAACATTGTAAATTTTCTTAAAATGGACTTTATAAAATTCAATATCCCCTTCAGACATTTTACACCCATGGAGCCCTAGTTCTGTAACTTTATGGAAAATGCATATCCCTCAAACCAAAGCCTGTGGCCAGCGGTGCTGCCTACCAAGACAGCCCTCGGGTCAGGAAAACAGCCCCCGGCCGGCCTGGTTCTGCAAGCACTGCCCAGCCAATACGGCGCCAGCCAGGGCAGCACTGTGGCTGAAAGGAGGGGCACAGGCCAAACATCTGCGGGCGCAGAAGGACCAGCTGCAATACTTCCAGGGACAGGCAGAGGGTTCTAGAAGGAGGCTGGAGCACAGAATCAACAGGGAAAATCAATCCTGTTTCTGTTCTCCTGAACAACCCTAGAAAATAAGGAGGAGAAATCACTTCATCAAAGTCTCAACAAGAACAACCACAGATAACACCACACGGAAATATGCTTCACAGTGTGGCCCAAGAGTGCTGTGTTCCAACACCTGAGACCCCACATCAGCTTACAGTCGGAAGGCAGGTCCCATTCAAGTCCCCGGCAGTTGTCCTTACACATCGTGAAAGTGCTACAGCCTTCACCAGGAGCAATGAGCGTGTAGAACAGATGATAGAGAGAGTGATGGGAGGGCCTTGGCCTGCATTTATATTGAAACATGTGAGCAGTGTGGCACTGCTGCAGAAACGGACACGTGGAAAACAGAACGTTCAGAAAGGGACCCACGTATTTTGAGAGGCTGGACATACAAATGGACAATGGTCAGACCATACACAAAAGCAGAACCAGAACCACAATCCACAGCAACTGCCCAGGAACCCAACGAGGAGCCCTCAGCCCCAAGAGTCAGGACCAGCTTCCCTTACTTTGCCACCATTCCCAACGTAGAGGAAGCCAAATATGCTCCCTCACCAATCATGCAGGATGCCCACTTCACGTCGGCCCAGCCCAGCTCCCCAGGCCAACAGCTTGCTCGGGAGGAAGCTGCCCTGGCCCACTTGCCTGCCTGCAGCCTCTGCCCCCTGCCCCCACGAGCTCTCATCAAGTAGCCCTGACCCTGGCTGGCCTTCGCTTCGTTCCACACCACTACGACTGCGGCCCCTCGCAGGTTCAAGGCAGTGGAGGAAGGCAAGGCTACTCAACAGTATTCAGCATGGTTCTGGAACAAATGTTAGCCACCTGGGACAAAGAAGACTCACACTGCATACCCCACAGTAAGACAAATACCAAGGGCATCAAAGATTTAAGTGCAAAAAAAGTGAAACTATTGAAATAGTAGAAGAAAATATCAGTTGATTTGCACAACAATCTCACAAGGAAGGCGACTATGGTATTTATTCCCATTTATGGGTGAAGATATCAGATCCAGAAGGAGCATGAAAGCCAGGGATCGAACCCTAGCTCAACTCCTAGTGCCCAGGGCAAGTGGGGCGGGTAGGTGGGAATGGGTGGACCGCGTCCGTCCCACTTCAAGAACATGAGAACACTGTCAGATGGACCCAGTTCTCTGAGCCCTGGAGGGAGAATGCCCAGGGCTCAGGCAGGCCTGGCTCTGGCAAGACCGCTCACCTGTTGGGGATGTAGCCCAGGCTGTCGAGCTTCTGTGCCTGGTCCAAGTCTCGGGGGACGCCATGCAGCACCCACCCTTTCTGCACACAGTCCTGCCGGTCCAGGCGTTCAGCCAGCATCTTCATGATGATGCTGTCAGGGACTGCAGAGAAAGGAGAGTGAGTGAGGGTCCGCCTGCTGGTCTGGGCCCCGGCCGGTGGCTTCCTGGCCTTTCTGGCCCACAGGCTGAGCTGCTGAAGAGGTGGGTGTAGGCGGAGCCACTTGGGACACCTGCTTCCAGCTTCCTCTATGTCCCAGCAATAAGAGGTTGGAAGAAACCGGTCTGCCTGAGATGGGGAATGTCCTGGTGACTTTGTCCTTCCCTGACCTAGACAAGATCCCATCACCATGGGCAGCCAGGGTAGTTCCCAGGCCTTCGATGACACGAGGGCAGTTCCCCTATCACCAGCAACCTGACCAGAAGCCCTACTTCCTCGTACTGTCATCTTGGGGTTAGGCTTCAACATAGGCATTTTGAGGGGGACACAAACATTCAGGTCAGAGCACCCCACAATGATCCAGCTCTGCAGCAATCACTTTTCACGGCAGAACACGAAGCCCCAAGTTCTAGTATTCTTCAGATGGGGTCTCGTTGGTGCCCTGGCTGCTCTCTGCTAATTTGGGTCCACAAGCACCCCTGCCCTTGCTATCCCTGAGTCTCCCGTCCTTGATCCTTGGACCCGAGTCTCTCTCAAGAATCATTTGTAACTGGAGACTGAAATACAGTCCCACGGAGAAGACGAAGACGTTGGAAGCCTCTTATTGACATTGCTGCGACTGACATTTCTCTCCTGGAATCCCGCCCTCCCAGGCTCATTAAGTGCCCTGTGTTGCCGATGTACTGCGTCCCAGCGATTAGCACTGCGCTTCCCGCACTTTGCACTCATTTCCCAGAAATACTTGGTAAATGTTACCACTGTTTGCTGTGAAGGTGGCCCAGGTGGGCTGCTGTGCAGCAACCACAGTGACAGTGTTCAGCAGTTTCTCTGGAAGCTTCTGCCCTTGGGCCTGGCAAGTGGCTCTAAGGCACTTATGAAGTCTCCAAGGCCACCCCACGCCCCACTGACCGCCAGGTGAACCTGGGGGTAAGCGGTAGATCACAACTGCTGCTCTTCTCTGTGCCAGCATGCACTGGGTGACACCCTTGTCACCAAAGAAATGCAAAACTTATCCCAAGCAATTTGCATCTCATCAAATTTGGTTTTTCTCCTGTCTTTCAACCTTTCTTCTCTAGTTCCTAGGAAGGAACAGGAAAGGGATTCTACTTAACGGAACACGTGGCTGTCTGCCCTGGTAAAAATTGCATTGGCTGATTCCGCCCCTCGCCCCTCTCCCCTCTCCCGGCATCCTGGCAGTGGCTCTCTGTGCTTTGAGAAAAAAATCAGCCCCCGCCCCCGCCCCCACTGCCACAGGCCTGGCAAGCTCTGGATCCTGCCTTCCTCCTTCCCTTTGTCCACAACATCTTCTTACATGGGCCTGGCCAAGGAAAGGCCTTTGCGCTGCGGCCTCGGGACTCAGGACCAGGGAAAATTCCCTCCGGGGAAGACGCCAAGGACTGTCCCCAGCCTGGGCTGCACCTGCACTTACCACCCTCCTTCCTTTGTTCTGGGTGATTCTTCAGTGAATGTCTGCCACTCACAAAAGACAGTGGGTCTCACAAGGACAAAGGACTGGGCCTACTAACCTTTTCTGTGCCCAACACAGTGCCTGGTATCCAGTGGATAAGGACAGACAGACAGGAGGCCTCCCTTTTCAAAAGTGTCACTGCAGCTGACCAAACGAGACCAACTTGACCGACTCTGGGGAAGCTGCAGTCGAGGCTGGGAGCATGGCTCCGGCCCTCCCAAAGCAGGACCCAGGCCTGCCTGAGCAACGATGCCCACCAGGCCGTCCACCTGCAGCCTCAGCTTGCATCTGCCACAAGAGGCCTGGCGTGCAGCAGACACTCTATGATGGTGGCTTGGTTTGATCCAGGAGATGTGTGTCAGGGAACAGAGGTTCAAGAACATTTTCTGGTTTCTCTGTGGCCAGCGAGTCTAGGATGCTGAGCCCAAGCCAGCCTTGGAAGTTAGAGACCACCAGGTGATCGGGTCCTCAGCTGAGGTGCTTGCTTACATTCTCGGGTTGTAACCCGGTGACCTCCTCTTCCTCTCCCCAGTAGGACTTGTCTGCACTCTAGGGTCAGGTGGCTGGAGCTGGGAGCTGTCCAGCACCTCCAAAAGCTCTGCAGCCCAGGAAATCAGGGCTCCACCCCTGAAGGGCTGGGGCGTGGGGACCCAGCTCTGAAGGTACTGTGTGCTGCAGTAATCGTCAGCTCTCTGACCCAGAACCCTTGTGATCAGGAACACCGGGGTGTCTAGGCCCACCTGGAATGCTGCTGGGGTTCACACCTAGACAAGAACTTGGGCACAATAAGCCTCCCCAGGGCTCCCTCCAGGGGGTGGCTATCAGCACGTGGCTAGTGCCGGGCACAGGGCTCAGCTTGGCTCTGACGTCAGGCAGGACACAGGGCCTGCCCTCTGCAGGTCTGTGTTCTTGTGGGGGAGACAAACAACACCTGAGTAGACAACCACTTCAGGAAGAGACGATGCCAATGATGGAGACTGTTGGTGTGACTGGCCGAGGCGGCCTCTGACGCAGTCACATTGGCTGAGATCCGAACGTGGACACCCAGGCCCATTAGGGCCTCCTTACTCTGTGGTGAGGACAATGTGGGGCCAGATATTTTCTGATTGTTCATAATGACCGTTCTTGGAAGCCAAGATGCCAGGGAGGCCCAGGAGGCCCAGGAGGCCCAACATCTGAACTGCAGCTTTCTCGAGGGCTCGAGGTCATCCCCAGGACCTCCCGCATTTTGAAGTTGGGAAGCCGAGGCCTGACGAGGGCGTGCTAACGCGACTTGCCAGTTGGCGCATCGCCCTCCCATCCAGCCCTCAGCTGTTCTCGTGCCTCCTTGGCCAGTGTCCCTGGAGCTCTGGCGGCTCAGCCACATTTAGCCCAGTCCAGAGAAGTTCCTCGGCTGGGAGAACGGGCCAGACAGCCTCCTCTCCTCCTCCAGAGACTTGTCTTCCTTTGGCCTTTGGGTAACAGAGATCCCTGGGGGGAGACTCCCAGTTCCCACGCCCTTTGGCCACCCCCTGTCCTAGTCTAAGAAGCACCCTACCTACGGGAAGAGGTGTGTCAAAGACCTGTCAGGGCTGGGCTGGGGCTCAGCAGTAGAGCACACGCCTAGCACAGGCGGGTCACGGGCGGGTCGGGCGGGTCACGCACATAAAAATAAAGGTAATGTGTTAGAAGAAAAAAAAGGAAGAAAATTTAACAGAACTGTTCACCATAGTGACATTGGGACATGCAGAGTGTCCCCCAGACACTGGGCAACCTTTATAAAAGGTCCTAGGATGGGACACCTGTGAAAAGCAGCTCAACAACTGGCTTGTGGAATGAGGACCAATTTAAACCTTTTTTTAGTTGTAGATGGACACAACACCTTTATTTTATTTATTTATGTGGTGCTGAGGATGGAACCCAGTGCCCCAGGCATGCAAGGCACGCGCTCTCCCACTGAGGCACTGGCCCAGCCCTAAACATAAACTTTTGTGTAACTGTTTAAACACACAGGAGAGCGAGGAGCGGCCACCACGTGACGCTCCAGAGTCCACCGATCCCTCTGGTTCTGGAGCCCAGGGCACCAGCATCAAGAGGGCACAAGGACCCCATCCAACACAGTCCTGGCTGGAAACCGCAAGGCTGGGAGGAGTGGGAGGGGGACCCGCGGGGGCACCTGCTGGAAGACTGGGAAGCCAGTGAAGCAGAGACAGAGTCCTACTGGAACAGGAGCCGCAACAGCCCCTCTTCAGGAGGCAGGAAGAAATGACCCCACACCTCCTGCTGAGGAGTCCATCAGTAGCCATCGCTGTGGTGCCTGCTTCACGCCTGCCTTGCGAGACGGGGACCACAGGGGCCAAGGGCCTCGCCTGGGCTGGACAGCAGACTCGGGGGCCTGGGAACAGCTGCGGACTCCTCTTTAGCACAAGGCTCCTCCCGAGCCAACCCACAGGCCCGCCCTCGCACGTGACCAATAAAGCAGCCCCCTCTCTCACCAGGGAGCCAGCCTGACCCCCTATTGTGGGAACCCAGTCTCCATTCAAAAGGGATGTCCCCGGGGAAGCCTTACCAAGTCCTGAGGGAACGGAGACTGGTCAGGAAGACCCTTCTCTCTTCCATCCCTTCCAGCTACACACAGTTACCTGTTCTCAAGTTAAACAAGCAGCCGAGAGAAACTTGCTGATGCCTGGGATTTGCTGGGGGTCTCTGGGCTGGGGGGGGGGGTTCCAGGTGCAACAGGGGGGCCTTGAGCACCTGTGGGCTCAGTATGCTGGCCATGGGTACCCAAAGGAACAATATTCTCTTTTCATTTATAAAGTGTTGTATGAGCTGGGCAGGCAGCGCAAGCCTGTAATCCCATCGACTCAGGAGGCTGAGACAGGAGGATCCCAAGTTCAAGGCCAGCCTGGACAACCTAGCAAGACTCTGACTTAAAATTAAATTAAAAGCTCAGTGGCAGGGGGCTTCCTAGCATGGGCATGCACACACACACACACACACACATACACACACACAATGGAGTGTCATTCAGCCATAAAAAGAATGAAATCTTGTCATTTGCAGGAAAATGGATAGAGCTATAGACAAAAGACAAGAACAGAAAGAGAAGCATCACTGTCATGTTTGGGATCTAGAAAAAAAAGCTGACATGAGCATTGCAAGGGGACTAGCCTGGAAGGGGGAAGGGACAAGGGAGTGAGAGAGGACATCAGGGCAGGTGGATATGTGGGATGTGGCATACAGATGTATGACATTGTCACAATGAAACCCATTATTCTGTATGATCACTATATACTAATAATTATAATTTAAAAGTCAGCTTAAGAAGCATGTTGCCTTCCCCTCTGGTTCTGGGGACAGAACTCTGGCTTGAGTACGCTGGATAAGTAGTTCACCCTGAACCCCATCCCCAGCCCTGAAACTGTCTTTCTATAAAAGGAAACCAATGCCCAAAGGAGGTAGACCTGGCCACCCAGAGAGCCCATTCCCCAGGCCAAG